ACTCATCACAATCGACCTCAACCTCCCCCTCCTCTACCACACCAAGGTCTCGTGATTTCACCTTCGAATATTATTCCAGACAGCTTCAACCCACTGCAGTCAATCAAACCACGTGTACCTCACTCGTTTTTGTTTACTACATGTTTAACGTTTTAGCAATAAGTTTGAAGCGGTTACATGTACGTGTTATCACTGCTAAGTTATCTTATCTGGTGATACGCGCAAGGGCGAGGTAGCCAAGGCACAGTAAGTCTACTACTCGGCATGACGGGGTGATACTGGCCTCTTACCCCCTCTCCCTGCTGGCTTACAGCACACCACACAACACGCCACTTGTTGCCCACACACACACACACACACCACACACACACACACACACACACACACACACACACACACACACACACACACACACACACACAACACCACACACACACACACACACACACACACACACACACACACACACACACACACACACACACACACACACACCACACACACAGCAAAAGTGTGGTGCCCCAGATCTTAAGAAGCACATCAACAAACTAGAACCCGTGCATGAGAGGTACTAAGTGGCTACTGAGGGCAGAGAGCTACGGGAGAGGTTAGAACATTAACTTGCCAAAACTAGAAGACAGAAAAAAAGAGGGATATGATCACTACGTACAAAATAGTAACAGGAATTGATCACCCACGGGAAGACTTCCTGAGACCTGGAACTTCAAGAATAGAGGTCATAGATTTAAACTAGCTAAACACAGATGCCTAAGAACACCAAGGGGATTCACACGCAAACAGAGGGGACGGTTGGAACAGGTTAAGTGAGAAGGTGGTGGAGGCCAAGACCCAAGTAGTTTCAAAGCCACAGGACAAAGAGGTGCGGGGAAACGGGAACCACGGAGCGTAGTTCTCATCTGTAACTACACTTAGGTAATTACACTTAGTGGTTACACACACACACACACACAGAGTATTAATAAATGGAAGCACTAGAGTGTGTGTGGAGGCTGACTCCATACACAGTTTCAAATGTAGATATGATAGAGCCCAGTAGGCTCAGGAATCTGTACACCAGTTGATTGACAGTTGAGAGGCGGGACCAAAGAGCCAGAGCTCAACCCCCGCCAAGCACAACAAGGTGAGTACAAACTAGGTGAGTACACACACACACACACACACACACACACACACACACACACACACACCACACACACAACAGTGTTAGTAGTTAGTAACAGTTTTTTTTTGAGATATATACAAGAGTTGTTACATTCTTGTACAGCCACTAGTACGCGTAGCGTTTCGGGCAAGTCCTTAATCTATGGTCCCTGGAATACGATCCCCTGCCGCGAAGAATCGTTTTTTCATCCAAGTACACATTTTACTGTTGCGTTAAACAGAGGCTACAGTTAAGGAATTGCGCCCAGTAAATCCTCCCCGGCCAGGATACGAACACATGACATAGCGCTCGCGGAACGCCAGGCGAGTGTCTTACCACTACACCACGGAGACTGTTGATTGATTGACAGTTGAGAGACGGGCCGAAAGAGAGAGCTCAACCCCCCCCCCCCCCCCCCGCAAGCACAACTAGGTGAATGCAACTAGGTTAATACACACATTAACTAGGTGAGTACATATACACACGTGGAAAGAAAAATGGAATTAGTCTCACATCACAATTAAAAACTGAATGATTAGAGATGTGATTACACGTTACAAAATTTTCAGGGAAGTTTATAAGGTAGACAGGTTCTTGATAATGGTCCAGGACGGACCGAAACGTCGTCGTTTCGGTCCGACGTTTCGGTCCACACATCTTCCGGTGTGTGGTTTGGTCATTAGATAGGTTCTGGGTTTGTGATGGATGCTACAGTAAGCAGGAAACAGGTGAAATTTATAGAATCCAAATAAGCCACATAAACATTAGACAGCTTTAAATGTATATTAGATATTGCCCAAGTGACTAATGGAAAAATAGGAGAAAGAATATTGTGTTTACAGACGATACTAAATATAGAATCGGTGTTCAGCAAGGGGGGGGGGGAGCATTTCCTCGCACAGGGTGGGTTCCTTGACAGCTCAGTCTTGTTTACAAACATTACCTCGTTGTGTGCCTCATTGCCAGATACTCAGTGTACTACCTTCAACAGCTAGTCGTTTTTTGTCGTTTTAAATGCCTGTTGATAATGCCACAAACCGTATATTCATCTCAACTAGTGGAAATTATAAAGTGGATGGATGAAACGAGAATACAGAAGAAATACGACAGTTGTTAGAATGCTTTTAATGTCGCAAGTCAAGTGGAACAGCAGCGTCTTGCAGCCTGGCTATAGCCATGGACGGGGAGGATTAAATACGCAGCGTATCCATTGGTTAAGACACTATCAGTCCCAGGCTCTTGGTTAGAGAGGCTCTGACGAGCAATAGTCTCCCCCACAGCCACTGGAGTCTTTCTTCTGCGTCCCGAGTGCCCAAGACATCGCTGCAGCGCCCGGCCCCAAATGTACTTAAAACTGAATGAGACAGGTGACAGTTTGTACTCTACTGATTTAATCGTTTCTATGTATCTACACCCTAGAATTTAGGTGGTTATTTATTATATTTTTTCAGAATTAACGTTGAGATATTATGTACTCTGATAGTCGTGAGTGAGGTGTCGAGGCTAGAATATTATATATATATATATATATATATATATATATATATATATATATATATATATAATATATATATATATATATATATATTACGACAAAAGAGAATGGCTGTCTGTCTAAATTTGGAGACCAGACGCTCGGGGCTAGCCTTACCTAGATTTGCACTTGGGCTCACTTACTAATACGAAATGTAAACTTTTCGGGCTCCAACAGTTCATTTTTGTACGTTTGACTAAGCAGTTGCTATTAGTACAATCCTTATTGGAGAATAAGGTAGTTCTTATAGGTCTATATTACATATCATTCTCTCAGAAGTATAGATATAGATATTTTGGTTTAGTTATCAAGTGCATACAGCCTCTGGGTGGAGACACGTGTGACACAGGAAGAGAGGAGTGATGAAGTAAGGTGGTGCGCGTTCCTCACCGTTACTCAACACTCACACGTGGCTCACAACACAACAACACTTAGACAGTGTTTATTTTTCGTTTACCTTACGATGATTCCGAGGATCAACGTCCCTACAGCCCGGTCCCTGATCAGGCCTCATGGTTAGTAGTCTGGTTAATAAGGCCGTTCGACCCGGCGGCAAGCAGATTAACATATGACTCACAGCCTGGTTGATCAGATATCCTGCGATGGCGTTTATTAAGTTATGTTTTTGAGCACTGTGAAAGGTCGGCCAGTTATGCCTCCTTATGTGTAGAGTGTTATAAAAGTTTTGGGGTCTTTTTAATGTTAGTTTTCTCTCTCAACGCGCCTACTGCACCTCTATTTTTCAACGGGGCTGTTTTGCACCTCCTGCCGTGCCTCCTGGTCTCCTGTGGTGTTATTTCGTCTAGAAAAGTCTTACGTAACCAAGCTCTTCCGGATTTGCTTAGGGATCTGTACCTCTCGTCTCCGTCTTGGAGGGTAAGTTTTTTACTTACTAAGCAGTTTACGAACTTAGAAGCACTACGAGGTCGTTCTCAGTTTAATGTTATCAGTGTTATGGGGACCTTATAGAGCATTGGATCTTACAAAGTGTTACGTAAGTTGAATCTATGCATCCATGATCGAGTTAAGAGAAAGAGATAGATCTCATAAGTGTTAAATGAATCCTGGACCAGAACTTGACCTTAATTTTATCAGCATTGCACACTAATGTTGCAATGTTAATACAATTAATTGTTTTATTTTATTAAAAAAATGCTTAATAAATATTTTCCCCTATTTCTCTAATGTCAAACATCTTCTTCAGTAATTCTAATCTTTGTCTTATATTTTAACAAAATTCTAGTGTAAATTTTCAAAACTTTTTTTTAAATGTTTAATAATATTGTTTTACTCTTTCCAGAGGCAACATGAATATGAAGAACAGAAAGTAACTTTATTAACACGGAACACCGAAGTTTTTAATCCATATCCGAACACTGATAAGCTCTAGTGCATATCGGAACACATTCACAGCCTCTAGCAATATTCCTGCTATCATTCTTCAGTATCTTCTCCATAAGCTGTGACCTGATATCCTCTCAACCTCAAAAAAATCAGCCAACGTTTGTTAACTGCATATTGAACAAGTGTGCCTTGAACAAGAGTAACCTTTCGCCGTCAAAAGGAGATCAATTCTCATCAAAAGTATCCGATCCTGCATAGTTTCCTCCTGAACTTCCGCGTCACAGAGTTACCATGATGAGTTTCCAGACCGCAGTGTTGCTAGTGGTAGTGACGGTGATGGTGGTGGTGGTTGACTCGCGATCTCTACGCACCAGGAGGACTGGAAGGATCTGCTCGACCAGAGATATCCTGCAGGCGGCTAATGCCGTCTGCAACCTCACTCGACGGTCCACTCGAGGTCCTGCTCCGGCCGCCAGTGAAACGTCGACCTCAGGTAATATACTTCATGGTTCGGTGTACTGTGAAAGCTTTGAATTCTTTATCTTTCTTCTCGTTATTCTCACAGCTGTTCGACTGTCCTAGTTTGTCTTCCTCTTATTTTGTATTCCTCTTGCTTGATATAACCTTTTAACTTTTATTATTTTATCTTCCAGGCGGGCTTTCCGAACGCAGAGGAGCGCAAGAACATTTAGAACACCTTAGCTCGCTTAACAGCTTTAAAAATGATGTGTCCAACAGAAAAGTCTACTCAAGGAAGGTCAGAACAGCCAACAGTTACCCAAGATTTTCTGTTTCTTCTCTAGTGAAGAGAAATGTAAACTCAGAAATTCTAACCCTTAGGGACCTCAGAGTTATGTGTTGTGTACGCGAGTGCTCGATTCAGGATTTCATGGGTGCTTGTACGTGAAGAAGAAGCGTCCAAGTTCTAAGTTCTAAGTTCTAGGTAACGTGTTGGAGTTACTTATAGCGGACGGTTGCATGTGAAGAATGTCCCAGCAGTGAGACTCCCAATCAAGTGAGCACTTGACTGGCAGTCTCACACAGTCGACTTGAGAATGGTCCAGGACGGACCGAAACGTCGTCGTTCCTTTCACCTTCTAGTGTGTGGTCTGGTCAACATTCTTTAGCCGCGTTATTGTGACTCATCGCCTGCAAGTGAGCACTTGAATTTAAACTCTTCGAACCAGAGCTGTGACATACCCTCTTCAACACCAAACTTGTGACTTAACAGTTATCAATGGATTTAATCCAAATAGTATGATATACATTTGGCTTTGAAACTATTTCATACACTCAGGGATATTGGAAGAAATTCTCGTGATGCTAATGCTGGCTAGAAGACTTCACTCGCATCTCATGTTTCTTCCTAACTCCATGTATCATGTGATGTGATGCAATGTTCATCCTGTGCAATGTGAATATTAGATGAACATATAGCTAACTCTTGACCGATACTCTGGTCAATATATATACCTTATATATATGTTATATATATACCTTATATATAACAGTGAACAGCACACCAAAGATTGTTAATAATAATAATTCAAAAGATCTATATCAATTATATTATACAACGTATATACCTCCAAGCTTTAAGACGTGTCTCCATTTTCATTATATTCTCGTGAAAATATATCCTAACTCTAAGACGTGGTTTATATACCCATTATCTGAAATGTTACTATTGTGCTGCAGTAATTCGGCATTGGCTAAAAATTTTTTTCTGGGCACTAGTCCACTTTCTCATATAAAAACGAATTATATATATATATATATATATATATATATATTATATATATATATATATAATATATATATATATATATAATATTATATATATATAATAATATATTATAATATATAATTATATTTTCCTTAATTTTCCTTAAGTACTTTCGTATATTAAATACATCTTCAGAAGGTCGTATTTATCGTATCTACCTTCTGAAAAGTATTTAATTACGAAAGTACTTAAGGAAATTTCCTGTTTCATTTTTCCTCCGTGGTCTGACATTGTCACATTCTTAATCACGTGTTTAGTGTATTATATATATTTTTAATATATATAATTATATAATTATTTAATATATATTAATATATATATAATTATATATATATATATATATATATATATATATATATATATAAATTTGGGTCAGTACAACTAAGAGCGTTACCATAGGCCTACAGGACTTCTGCAGTTTCCTATATTCTCGTTGTGGGCTCCAATGCAGCAAGACGGAGCCCACAGTCGTTTGGATAAATCATTCGCAGCCTCTTCAATTAATAAAAGTGTGTCGAATAATTTTGTCTTATGTTCCTCTCTCTCTCACCAACTTCATCTTAGAAAACGGGAATAGTGTGGCGGATGGTTTGTAAACGTTTCAGGGTCCACTGATGTCGCGGGCAGTGGTGACTGAGATGCTTACACTGTATCTTCCTGGTTTGGGCACCACTGGTAAGAGGAAACGTCTGTCAGCCGGAAACGATAGCGATGCACAGCGAGACAGGAATGAACAGATCTCAGACGGGTGAGGAGCTGTGTCTAAAAGTCTGATGTTATGACGGGAAGTTGCGCAGGACAAACTCTGGTGTTTTGACGTCCGTCATATATGTTGTTGCCTTCAATGTAGTTTCCGTTGGAGAGCGAGGTTATGGTCAACTCCTACTGTGTTACTGTTATACTTAAAGCCCAGAAATCATCTCAAGATAACCCCGTTTGAAATGAAAGAATTAAGCTTATTCGTATTTTTTTTTTTTTACTTTACAAGTAGTAGTAGTAGGCTACTCCCTACTGATATGGATGTACGATGTTGACTGATCATTTGACGAAGATCAATGTGTTGGGTTCTAGCACTGTGATGTCTACAACACATGAAAAATAGCATGTGCTATTGAGTCGCTGGAACTTAGCACTAAATGCACCGTTCGTCAGTCTGTGTTGGATATTCATAGCAGTCTGTTGCTACCGTAGGTGACATTCCCTTTAGTCTCGGGAGCTTCATGTTTATACTCGAGTATTTACATTGACTACGTTTCCTCACGATGCAGCTATAGGCGGAAATGGTGTCGGGGGTGTCACACCTGCAGCGACGGCGGCTTGTCAGCGTATCACTGGGCGCCAGTTTGTCTAAGAGCCCCAGACAGTCAACTCAAGTATCACTTCCGCTCCACAAGCCTTCCTCTGGACACAGTTTCGCAATGTTTAGCATCTGCTTTGTGATTTCAACACAATTTCTTTCAAAATCTGAAACTGCTTCATCTCTCTCTAAGTGCTGGGTTAGCCACATAAGTATATCACATTGACACTTGACTACACCATTTGGGTATACCACATGGATATGTAACATTGCAGCACCGCTTGGTTACGAATGATATAAAAACAACTTCTTGTGGGTATCATCTCATTACAGCCGAGGAAAATACTGCTTGATGATATCGTCAAATGTTAGAATTTTCGTGACTTTTAGACGTCAATGAACTCGCTAAGTGTCGCCCATTTCAATGCAGGTAAAGAAAGTTCCTGCACTTCCTCACTTTCTAAGTGTTTTGCTGCCGAAAACAGTGAGGAGCCGAAGGCATCATATAAACACCAGGAGTTCATAATACTTTACACTTTTGTCTTGAGTGTTATCGTCTGATTTATATGTTCTGAATTTAACATTTTGTTAATATTTCCGTAATGACATAAATATATTTAAATACTCTTCAGTGAGGAGGAGTGAGTTGAATCAGTGAATATAACTGCATCCGGTTGTTAAGCTCTCAGATTATAATGTAAAACAATTAAATTAAGTTTAGGTTCTAATAATGAACTGAACGCAAGACATAAGAAGTAAATGATGAAAATAATTTCATTGTTATATATTCTATAACGAGTATACACACACATATGTTTATACTTTATCGATGAACGAGGCTTTAAAGAACGAAATATGCAAGGAGAGAATTATCAGGAGAAATCGCCAAGCCATTACGACTATATAGCACTTGGAAGAGGTCAGGCTAAGGATTTCGGATGCGACGGGTGGGGAAAGGAACGATACCTAACTACTTGGACGGTCGGGGATTGAACGCCGTCATGCATGAAGCGAGACCGTCCAGCCCAAGTGGTTGGGCAACAAAATTTGGAATAGTCGTGTACCTTGTTATCAGGAGAATGGATGTATGTTATGAGGCTGGAGTGTGTGTTTACATGAGTCTGGCCTCCTGTTCTTATGGTCCTCGTTCTCTCTCGTTAAGCTTCAACAAAGACTCACGCGCTGGGAACTGAAAAAATTTGAAAGTTTATATATAGGGAGCCGGTCGGCCGAGCGGACAGCACGCTGGACTTGTGATCCTGTCCCGGGTTCGATCCCAGGCGCCGGCGAGAAACAATGGGCAGAGTTTCTTTCACCCTATGCCCCTGTTACCTAGCAGTAAAATAGGTACCTGGGTGTTAGTCAGCTGTCACGGGCTGCTTCCTGGGGGTGGAGGCCTGGTCGAGGACCGGGCCGCGGGGACACTAAAAAAAGCCCCGAAATCATCTCAAGATAACCTCAAGATAACCTCAAGATATAATTGTCGCTAACATAATCGTTTTTTTATTTAAACGACACGTGTTTGTAAGTACCTCGGTAGCCCTTGGTGTATATTCATGCATACATTCATGCACAGAGACATTAGAAAGAACTTTTTCAGTATCAGAGTAGTTAGTAAATGGAATGCACTAGGAAGTGATGTGGTGGAAGTTGACTCCATACACAGTTTCAATTGTAGATATGATAGAACCCAGTAGGCTCAGGAATCTGTACACCAGTTGATTGATGTTTGAAAGGCGGGACCAAAGAGCCAAAGCTTAACACCCGCAAACACAACAGGTCACTACATACATACATACATACATACATACATACATACATACATACATACATACATACATACATACATACATACATACATACATACATACATACATACATACATATATATATATGCGTTGTATTCTCCTAGAATACAAGTTTGCATTAATGGCCAAAAAATATTGTTGAGTTATAATACATATATGCAAACTATAACTATTTAGATAAAACATACGTGCATTCTGGCTACATAATACATACATTTGGGCCTCATACACACACAACACACACACACACACACACACACACACACCCACACACACACACCACACACACACACACACAACACAAACACACACACACACATCCACACACACACACACACACACCACACACACCATATAGATATATATATATATATATTATATGCAAACAAGCCTGAATGGTCCCCAGGACTATATACAACTGAAAACTCACACCCCAGAAGTGACTCGAACCCATACTCCCACAACTGGTATGTACAGGGACGCCTTAATCCGCTTGACCATCACGACCGGACATTTTGTGTTCCTCACGTGTGCCCCAAAGAATGAGGTGATTTGATAAAATGCTATGCCCAAGATTACCATCCGAGTGCCGGCGGGGAAGTTGGTTCATATAGCCTCGGCTATCACTTCCTTATGTCCGGTCGTGATGGTCAAGCGGATTAAGGCGTCCCTCTGTACATACCAGTTGTGGGAGTATGGGTTCGAGTCACTTCTGGGGTGTGAGTTTTCAGTTATATAATATATAATTATATATATATATAATATAATATTATAATATTTCAACAACTGAACAATCTGAACATAAACATTTAAATATTACAGTTATATACATTCATAAATAAAAAAAAAACTCCAGTCAAACATTGCATTTAATGTAGGATAAACACGGCACACAGAGGGTAGGGCTAACCAAGATGGTTCACAGATAACATTCTGAAAACTACTCATCGTTTTCTTACCAACATCAAATCAACAAAATAGTGCAGGAGTTCGTTGTTGTAAGTCTTCCAACGTTATTTGCACGGTGTTCAGTTGCAGCCCCCTTCCTCTGCCAGGTAAGTCCACTACGGGCTCACCATAGCCCGTGCTACTTGGTGCTGATCTCACCGACAACGTTTCGGTCCGTCCTGGACCATTCTCAAGTCGACTGTGAGCTAAAATATTTACGCAGGTTATAATCTTAGTATATTACCTCTCACAGTCGCTAACTCTGTGGCCTACTTCTGACCGCCGTGTCAGGAAAGGGAAGCGAGATGTTGCCGGGTGAGTGTGGTTGACCCCGACGGGAGGGAAGGCCCCCGCCTCACTCCAAGGTGCAGCTTGCAAGTGAACGCACCTTCCCACCCACAGCTCTCTTGCCCTCGGTGCATCCACTATACCATGCACGCCCGTAATGGTCTCTGTGTCAAGCAGTGTCCCATTCTTATCTGGATCTCTGTTCTCCTCTTTAGTTAGAAGACAGAGCGTAAAACGTTTTCCGTCCGTGACCTCCAGCTTGTATATACGAAGCTGCGTCAAATATATATATATATATATATATAACCCGTATATAGCCCGTGTATATCACGGGCTATATACATCAGCCACCTGATTTTCAGCTGATTATTACCAATTTCTCGTAAACAAAACAAGCTGTTATTAGAATGATCACACAACCCGAAAATGCTGCTTTGATCACATAGTTCCGAAGGAGTCTGAAAACACGTGTATTGTGAGAAATTAATGAATCTACAAAGACAATTAATATTTCAAAACAATGAGAACATAAATAGCGTTTTTTGAAGACTTCAGAGAAGCTCTCATCAAAACCTGTGAACGGGAATGCAGCTTGTGGAACATAAAAGAAAATAAGTGAACAACATAATTTTTCTGTTTATTTAGCGGTAAAGAACAGATCGCGTGCAATAAAGAACAGCTAGTGTGAATAATCCAGACTGTTGCGGCGAAAGGAAAATGACGATGGGAGCCGGATGGTGTTGTGTGAGCCAGCTGGGAGCCGGACGGTGTTGTGTGAGCCAGCTGCACCTACTGCTACTGCTGTTGCTGCTCCTGGTGTGCTGTGCTACCAGTGGTGAGTACTTTACCCTTTAGCACGGTCATTGCTGAAGATTAAACAAAGGTTCATTTAATTGTGATATATAATGTCCAAGTGGTGAATGGTGTCAAAGTGGTTGGGCACCATTCCTTCCCCCCGTCCCATCTCAAATCCTTATCCTGACTCCCTTCCCAGTGCTATGTAGTCATAATGGCTTGGCGCTTTCTCCCTGATAGTTCATTTAATTGTGATGCGCTTTTCAGTGTCAACATTATTCCTGGTGTTAAAATACTTAAAATTTCTAGGTATTAACTCAGCACTCTGTTGGGCTTGGTCCAGCCTGTCCTCCCACTTAATACAGAGCCGGTTTTCACGGTGTCTTCCAATGCATAAATATATTATCCTTAAGACTTTTTCTCATAGGAATGTGATTCTGTCGTCGTAATTAAAACTATCGTAACTCAACTAGTCAAAGAAACCTACAATGGGCGAGGGGAAAAACAATATAATATAATCTCCGACAGTACAATATAATAAGAGAGAAAATAATTTTCGACAATAAACGGGGCTTCAGTGGGATAAACAAAGATAAACATGAATAAACAGAGATAACCGAGAGAGAGAGATGAGAGAGAGAGAGGAGAGAGAGAGAGAGAGAGAGATAGGGACCGAGAGAGAGAGAGAGAGAGAGAGAGAGAGAGAGAGAGAGAGAGACTGCGGAGAGAGAGAGAGAGAGAGAGAGAGAGAGAGAGAGAGAGGAGAGAGAGAGAGAGAGAGAGAGAGAGAGAGAGAGAGAGAGAGAGAGAGAGAGAGAGAGAGAGAGAGAGAGAGAGAGAGAGAGAGAGAGAGAGAGAGAGAGAGAGAGAGAGAGAGAGACAGACAGAAAGGTCACAAACGCTGACCCTCTAATAACAAGAAAAACTATCTAGGCATCGTAATTGGGATGCTGTAGCGGAAGGCAGCATCCTTAACGTGCCTTGATCATCTCGCTGGCAACACCTGTGTCTTCCTTCACCGTTGTAGTACAAGGTATTGCTGTATTAATAATGTATTATTCCAATACACTTGTCATTACACAGTGCTCATAGTCTGTGTCAAGTTATATGTGAACTTTATACATAATTATATAAAAAAGGACCCCCCAAAATTTGTAATGAATATTTTCGATCGAAATTGTAACTTGGAAAGGATATAACGTAATAAGAACAGCAACAATAATAATAATAATAATAATAATAATATAAATAATAATAATAATAATAATAATAATAATAATAATAATAATAATAATAATAATAATAATAATAATAATTAGTTAATATTAACCGATACATCAGAGAACCCGGTTCGTCTGCTCTAGTTTCTTGTTCTCTCATCACCCTTGGGGGGTTTTTCCAGTCCGAGTACTGACGATTATATACTTCCTCAATAAAGTTTAATTATCTCTTGCCATTTCCTCAAATATATGCCATAAAAATGCCTGGAAATGGTAATTAGGCATCGGATAAATGCTTAGAAAAGTAGTGACATCCAGTTGGATAGACTCTTACGTGCTTCAGTAAATGTTTCGTAATTATCCACCCAGCCACATTGATGACATATTGGAAGTTATCTCCAGACTAAGGCCACACAGAGTTACCATTGTTGCTTCCCTGTACAGATTAATGTTTTGTGATTCATCATCGACGATGAAGCCTTAACAGAAGCTTTCCGTAAACCCAGATTTCTCTGGATACCCTTCATGCTTCGACATCCCACTGATCCCGATAATGCCTCTGGAACACCCCTAATACTATAGTTATTCCCCAGATCATCCGAATACCGCCACTAGATCACCCTGATACTGCAAATGCCCCGCCTGATACTGCTAGTGTGTTCAGATCACCCTAATACTTCCACTGCTCCCAGAAACAGGATGCCAACAACCTGCCCTCCGGATGTCGAAGATATATGTTATTATCGCTCGTGTATCGCAAATGACAGGATGGATTCCGTGAATATCGGTCACGCAGCCCAGCTGGGGTTGGCGGAACTCTCAAGCTGTTAAATCTGATCCTGCATGTATGATATGGTTAGGGTTGCTTGCACTACTAAAGTGTCTTGATAATTTAAGTGTGTTTTTTGAGTCACGTACGTGAATCACTACACTGTTTGAGGGGTGGGTTAGGGGATATGTATTTAAAGGGAGTTTGGTTGAATGTAAGCAGGAGCTGCTGTTGAATAAGGACGAAAGGTTTTCTTCAATATCCCCTATTATATGATATATGTATTCTTAAGCTATATGAAAAATACTGTTGTATTTTCGTCTGTGCAAATACATTTTGGGATAGCGAGTTGCATCTGTCAGCTAACACAACTTTTGCCAATCAAAAAGCTAATTGGCAAGCTTGCTAAAAAGTTAGCTTGCCATGCTTGCCAATCAAAAGTGTGTAAGATGTCATGTTAGTTATTGCCAGGCCTGCCTGTGTACAAGTGTACTTCTGGCTGTGAAAAATTGTGATTCACAAATTCCGGGAATAAATTGGCCGATACACCATCTCAAAATGACTTACTCTCGTGCAGTAATTTGAGAAAAATCGAAAATGCTTTGCAATATAATATGATTGCCGCTGGATTCAACGTATATTAGCCTTCACCTTACGCATACTCCTCTACCATATACCCCTTGACTAGAGTATATTATACCCGTCTATGCCCCAGTCAATATTATATTATTCCAGTCTACGCCCCAGTCAGGAGTATATTATACCTACCTCCGCGCCAGGCTAGAATATATTGCACCAATCTTTAAGCCATGATGTAATACATAGCACATATCCGCGCCCCAAGCTAGATAATATCACTAATAACTCACACAAATGGATTCGCTCCTTATCTGTCAACACTAAGACACATGTTCCCTTCGTGTACTAGACCACCAGACACGAATCCAAGACAAATATTTTTATTTATAAGCATTTCAGCGACTCACGCATTATTTATATTGACTTAAAAAATCAAGTTTAATTCAACATACACGATTTATCTCCCGTACGCAAGGCACCTCACGAATTCCTCACACACGAGCAGCTCGCAGGTCAGATAATTATTTAAGCGCTAAAGGGAGTCTTTAAGGTACTGACTCGCCACACCTGGCTACACCAGGTGTGAGGTACACTACCTTATTAACAGGTACACTACTAATAATACCCATATGATGGCACGTTCTAAAAAATATACTAACTTCGGATTGGGTAAATATAAAACGCTTGTGAGTTTAGTTTATTTAGTAAAATAATGTGTAACAAAACAGCATAAACAGCTGAAAATGGCAAGGGTTAAACAGTATCATGTGAAGCATAAACGTGAAACAATTGGCAGAATAAAATATCTGCTCAAGCAGCAGAACCTAGAGAATACGAACAGAAGTGACAGAGCCAACAGTTCACACACATGCCCGTCGGTACGATGACCAGGAGAATGCTAACAGCCTCATGAATCCTAAACAGGGAATGCATGAAATAAATGTCAATAGCAGGTAGAGTACTAGTCTACTCTACTAGAGTAGTAGAGAATCTACTACTAGAGTAGTAGTAGAATCTCCAGCAATATTACATCTCTGTGGATTGTATTTTCGAGAATTGGGTGAATAGGGTTTTACATGATCACGTGAAAGAAATTTGCATACTAATACTTAAAATATACTTAGAAAAAAATACATAATAAGGAGTAACTGAATATAAAGTAACATACGATACAATTACTTTACAATATGGATCACGATACAGACACGAGGGAATTACTACTGACAAGACATCTAAGCCAGAGAAAATGAAGATTTAAAACTAAAAACATTGGCAGTATGTTACTCAAAATGTTGATGATGAACTAAAAGATAGAAAACAGTTAAAACTATGGTACCTACAGTACAAGGTAGATATGGATAAATACTAAGTAAACATAGTAAATACGAAGGAAATATGGATATATACTAGGTAAATGCGGATAAATATTACGTAAATGTGAATAAATATTAAATAAATGTGTATAAATATTACTTAAATGTAGATAAACATTACGTAAACATTGATAAATATTAAATAAATGAGGGTAAATGCTAGATAAATATGTCATGAGCCCGTGCTAGGATCACGGACTATTAATGCCTGTGTCACCTCTTGGGTGACTCAAAACAGACACAAATACCTAAACTTGGCATTACGGGCTCACCATAACCCGTGCTACATGGACACTTCGTTCTGAATAGCTAAATCTAAAACAGCAACAACAACAACCTAAACTTGAATTCTCTGAGGAATCACTGAGAATGAGGAAAAGTGATTCATATCGTGTAGGTATTAAGGAAAGACTTACTGGTGGGGAACGGGACTCCTGAATCCGCTTCACTGTAGGAAGTGATCAATATTGTTAAGAACCTTTGGAATAGTTCAGCCAACACAATGGAGGTGAGAAACTCATCCTCCTGCGGTCGTGTATTAGTAACCAGTTGGGCTCTCTGAGGTCACAGCTCTAACCCAACAAACCCTCAGGAAACTTCAGAATTTCCATATAAATTCAATACGTTATTTTAAAAAAAAAGCTGATTTGTAGTATATAAATAAATAAATATATATATATATATATATATATATATATATATATATATATATATATATATATATATATATATATATATATATATATATATATATATATATATATTGGTGGCTCCCGGCTCCTATTAGATACTAACATTATATAATAAATTCTAATTAAACAAGTTGCATCCAACAATTCATGACGAGAGCAAACAGGTGTAACTAGCTTACAGTAATGGTAATAAAATTTGCAATAGAACTAGAGGTAACAGTTGCAATATAAAAAGAAGTGTTAAGCATTGCAGAGTGTAATCACATATTAAATGTACTTCACTCTAGTACCTGGTTCCCACGTAATTAAATTAGCCAGTGGGGAATAGCCGGCGTCAAATAATTCTGACGATAAAAGTCTTGGAAGAAGTAATATGTGACATATTTCCCACGGTCAACAATCCATCCCTGAGCATAAAGACTGACATCATAAAACTGTTAAACAAAAAACGTTGACGGTGTCCAAGCGTGTCTGAGGTGGTAAGAAGTTGTACCAACGTCGTCGGTGTACTCACCTAGTTTTTCCTCACCTAGTTGTGCATGCGGGGGTTGAGCTCTGGCTCTTTGGTCCCGACACTCAATTGTCAATCAACTGGTGTACAGATTCCTGAGCCTACTGGGCTCTATCATATCTACATTTGAAACTGTGTATGGAGTCAGCCTCCACCACATCACTGCCTAATACATTCCTCTTGTTAACTACTCTGACACTGAAAAAGTTCTTTTTAACGTCCCTGTGGTTCATTTGGGTACTCAGTCTCCACCTGTGTCCCCTTGTTCGCGTACCACCAGTGTTAAAAAGTTTATCTTTATCTACCCTGTCAATTTCTCTGAGAATTTTGTAGGTAGTGATCATGTCTCCTACTCTTCTGTCTTCCAGTGTCGTCAGGTGCATTTCACGCAGCCTTTCCTCGTAACTCATGCCTCTTCGTTCTGGGACTAGCCTAGTGGCATACCTCTGAACTTTTTCCATCTTCGTCTTATGCTTGACAAGGTACGGGCTCCATGCTGGGACCGCATACTTCAGGATTGGTCTTACATATGCTGTGTACAAGGTTCTGAATGATTCCTTACACAGGTTCCTGAAGGCTGTTCTGATGTTAGCCAGCCTCGCGTATGCCGCAGATGTAATTCTTTATATGTGGGCTTCAGGAGACAGGTTAGGTGTGATATCAACTCCTAGATCTTTCACTCTGTCCGTTTCATGAAGTACATTTCCCATTCGGTATCCTGTGTCTGGCCTCCTGTTTCCACTGCCTAGCTTCACCACATTGCATTTATTCAAGTTGAACTTTAGTAGCCATTTGCTGGACTATTCATTCAGTCTGTCTAGGTCATCTTGTAGCCTCCTACTATCATCCTCTGTTTTAATCCTCCTCGTAATTTTTGCATCATCAGCAAACAATGAGAGGAACGATTTTATACCCTCTGGGAGATCATTTACATATATCAGAAACAATATAGGTCCAAGAACTGACCCCTGCGGGACTCCATGTGTGTGTGTGTGTGTGTGTGTGTGTGTGTGTGTGTGTGTGTGTGTGTGTGTGTGTGTGTGTGTGTGTGTGTGTGTGTGTGTGTGTGTGTGTGTGTGTGTGTGTGTGTGTGTGTGTGTGTGTGTGTGTGTGTGTGTGTGTGTGTGTGTGTGTGTGTGTGTGTGTGTGTGTGTGTGTGTGTGTGTGTGTGTGTGTGTGTGTGTGTGTGTGTGTGTGTGTGTGTGTGTGTGTGTGTGTGTGTGTGTGTGTGTGTGTGTGTGTGTGTGTGTGTGTGTGTGTGTGTGTGTGTGATGATAGTTGTTCGGAGGGTGTATACCTGAGGCAGTGTTCCCTAGGTAACCCAGGTGTACAGTAATGAGTGGAGTCCTGTTATTACTACTCTTTGTTGTAGATATTGAAGATATATATATATATATATATATATATATATATATATATATATATATATATATATATATATATATATATATATATATATATATATGGATAGCAAGAATCTTTCAAAAACTATTTTATTACTATATTTAATGCACGATAATATGCAAATAAATAATATTAAATTTTTTGGATCTATTTTGAAATTATATGCAATTAATTATTATGTAAAAATGTATTAATTCATGTTTTAATGTTTACAATTTATGTACAACTTATATATATTTTGCCACTAACGATTTTCCAGTAATGAGCTAATCTACAATACGTTAATCTCCTCAACAGCTCAAGTGGTTGCTGGTTCATCACAGGGAGACGCCAGCACCAGCGAGGATACTACCCACCGGGTCCCTAAACCCAATGCTGTCGAGGAAGAGAAGAAAAAAACCGGCATCGATGCCAGAGAAAACGATGGACTTGGATCTATTGAGAACGCGCAAAACCTTAGGATTCTAAGATCTACACAATCAAGCGATAAGGAAGATGATAAGGAAGATGGTAAGGAAAGAACGTCAGGAGGCGCTGTTGAGGAGGATAGTTCATATCAGCTACGTTTAGATGACGCACTTGAGAACGCAGCTCCAGAGACCAGAGTCACAGATATGCAAAGCACCCAAGCCATTCACACGGACTTGGTGAAGGAGAAAATAGCAAATAACTTGAAGAGGACTGATTCCGCACAGCCGAATTCTGTTAATATTTTCATTGATGAGTTCATTAGGAGTTACGGCAGTCGGGACTTGACGGCGGCCAAGACAATGGATGTTAAAGACTCAATGAGCTCCCGAGGCTACGCCGGTCCTCCAGCCTCGACCCTGGCAACACCAGTCAAGAGTGATCATTGTGGTGGTGTTATTACCGTCTCAAGCAACTACCACACCATTAAATCTCCAAATTACCCTTCAAACTACCCGGCAAACTCTCGATGCATCTGGACTGTTGTTGCCCATAAAGACAGTAATTATGATCAAGTCAAAGTGTGGATTCAAGATTTTGAGCTCGAGGGCTCTGATTGTAGCAGTGATTCCCTCAAGATCACAGACCTCGCTGTGGGTAAAACAGCTGTCTACTGTGGTGCTGAGTACAATGAGACCTTCATCTCCATGGGAAATTCTTTAGCCTTAGCTTTTATGAGTGATAATACAATCAACAAAAGAGGTTTCGTAATCAAAGTGCAGGGGATTAAATCCACTTGTGGAATGATTCATAAAACTATAGGAAATGAATCATTAATTTTTTCTACCCCAAATTTCCCACTGACATACCCGACTGATTCTCGCTGTCATTGGTTAATTGTCTCAAAGACAGAAATGGCTTTGAAGTTGATTAACCACCAAAATGGAGAAGAAAATTCGGATTCCTTATTGATTTCTACAAACTTATTTGGAACATATGAAACGTACAAACAGGAGAATATTTATTTATCATACATTTTCTCTGTAACGTTTATTGCTAATTCGTTTTTAAAGAAAATTCCACCGAATCCGGATCTTCGTCCGGGTTTACGATTTAAATTATTGCCAGTAACTAAAACACAATCTTGTGACAACACTTTAACTGTAACTGCCAGTTCGTCCGTTGTAATAAACTCCAATAGATATCCAAATGGCTACGAACCTTCATCCAACTGCTGGTGGACAATCATATATCACATAAACAGCAGCTACGTCTCAAGTCTACGATTCGTAGACTTCGACATAGAGAAGCACGCTAACTGTCGCTATGACGCCTTGCAGATAATTGATGAAGCGATTGGTCTAAAGAAGAATTTTTGCGGAGCCCAAAAAAATTTTGAGTATGTGACTGAGAGCAAAGAATTGAAACTCCATTTCAAGAGTGATTCGTTCAATATTCACTCTCATAAAGGTTTTTCCATATATGCCTCGGCACAGGACATGAGAAGAGATGAGTGCAGTGTTGAGAGGCCGGATGAAGACACTTGGGTCATAAAGTCCCCCAGTCATTTCATGGACAGTCCGGCCTACACTGCCTGCACCATCACCATCAACAGTACCACAGCAAACCGCTTCAGTGTCCGCTTTAATAAATTCAATCTCCAAAGACGGGAACCATGTAGCGAAGGCAGCTACTTGTCAATAGAAGACAAGGGCGTCAATAGAACGGAGCTGTTTTGTGGAAGAATGGGAGGACATACCTTTATTACTGCTGGAAACGTCATAAAATTGTTCTATTCTTCAGAACGGAATGACGTCTCTGAAAACTTCCAGGTGGAATTCAGGACTTTCTATGATTCTGACTGTGGAGGAAACTACGAACTGAGACCCAGAGAGGGTGTGGACCTACATTCTCCTCCTCTTAAAAAGCTGGAGAAAATTTGTGTTTGGGTCCTACAGGGTAAAAACAGCCTTCTGGTTCTGGACTTTAAGCGTGTGGAAAATACAAGAGTATCACAAACTGGTCTGTATAGTGATATTTATAGTTATAATCCCAGAACGTTACATTTCATTCAACCTTCTGACAAATATATGATCCTCACCAGAGAGAACAATGTAAAGATTCAAGCCAACGCATATGCCACGTTTTCAGACTGTAATTCAATCCTTCACTTAACAACGGCACCTGTAATAGTACAAAATTCAGGTAACCGTCACTGTTCGCAGGTGGTGAGTTCAAGCAACGGCAGAAAAGTGGTGTCTGCCATTCAGTATACGTTGCTCTCCACGACACATCCCTCTGCCTGCCCTCTAGAGGTCATCAACGCCGAAACAGCTATAAAGAGCACACTTTGTATCAAAGACTGGAGAAATACGTATTCAGTTATAAGCGAAAAATTGCTCATAAACCCTATCATTCCAGACGATGATATCCCAAGCAGTTTCATGGTTTTTGTGGAACCAGTCAAATACGTATGTGGGGAAATATTTGACGTGAAAGAAAAGAACATTATCGTGAGAAGCAGAACTGCAAACGCGAGATATACTTGTGTTTACAGATTTTTAAGCGGTGGTAATAGAATTGTGTTGGATGTGGCCACGGGAAGCAAGAAAGCTCTTACCTACCTCAGTGTCTCCACCGATGGGTCTTTCCACACCCTAAAGCAGCTGTCTTCTATGATTACAACTTCGTTGATAACGACGACGGAATTCTTGGTCGTTGTTAAGCCCTTCCCACGGAGTGTGAGTTTCATGTTTCAGGTGTCGAGAGATCTTCCAGTAACATCCCCCTGCCACTCTTGCTTAATTGTCCAGGCGGGCAGCGAAGGGGTGGTCAAGTCGCCCAGTTCCCATCACGACACCACCTATCCCTCTGGATTAACCTGCAACGTCAAATTTGATTCTGAAAATATAAACAGAACTGTTATTATGGAAGTCGAATATCTCGATCTTCCTTTAAACACGTCGCTAGATTCGCTGTGCATAATTAAAGATGGAGTGAGTACTGTTATTGATGTTTCACGGCTGCCGACCTTGAATCAAATTTTGCTCATTGAAACACCGTTCTCTCTCCGGTTCGTCACCACCACTGCCAATAAATATGAAGGTTACAAGATACGCTATAAGGTCAATGAATGTGGAGGCATAGTAATGTTGAATAATGATACAGCTGTAACAATACAATCCCTTGGGTATGGTGACATTTATCCAGTAAACATGCAGTGTGTGTGGCTTGTCCAGACGAATATAACCAACATAAGCGATAGGGTAAAGCTGAAGATCGTTGAGTTTGATATTCATGAATCAGATTCGTTTGAGGTGTTTGATCCTTTGTATTCAAAGGATCCTGTTGTCATATTCAGAGGCTCTGCTGCTAACCAGGGAATACGAAGTGTCGGAAATCAGTTAAAGGTTGTGTTTACGTCCGATTCACGTTACGTAAGTTCAGGGTTCGTCTTCAGTGTTCGGGCTGTCGTATCTGGCTGCGGTGGAGACATTGACACTGGCATCGAAGAGGAAGGCAAAATTAGTACTTTGGATTCTTTCCCAAATACTGATTATTGTTTATTTCGTCTACGACCCAACCAAGGACGCGTGATGTCCATATCTCCCCTGAAGGAGTCCAGCAGCCGTCAAGAGCGAGGACACTCGCCAGGGACAAGTGTCCAGCCCACAGAAGAACCAGACTGGGAGAGAGGTACCAAATGTCACGCAGGTAGTGTGGTGATAACCACCACTGGGTTCCTGAGTGACGGTAAAAGATATTGTGTAGGTGATGATTTTCAGGCCGTGTTGTCTACGCAAGACGTATTGTTGGTAGTAAGGGCTCCTCCGTTACCACCTGTGGAATTCTCTTACCGTGCAAGTGGGTGTGGAGGAGAGCTGGTGGTACTAGAAGGCTCAGTGGGCCAATTGTCATCTCCGAATTATCCTGATGTGTTCACTGGGCCTCTCACTTGTGCTTGGACTTCCAGGAACCCTCTCTTCATTACCATCACATACCTTGATATACAACCAAAACTGGACTCCCTGATTCTTGCAGATCTCGAACGTGTTATCACCGTAAGTACGCTACAGTTACCAAGCTACATACAGCTGGACGGCCCAGCTACAGTAACCTTCTCCGGTAGTAGTTTGGGCCTCAAGACTGGGTTCAACTTACAGTACGAGAGAGTAGAAGTTCAGGGTGTATGGGATGTTGCAATGGGTGCTCCGGTCACGATTCTGGGCTTTCAAGGTAATCGTAACTGGATCTCAACGTGGCGCGTTCGGGCTCCCACTGGGAACAAGGGTCTCACGCTGCGAATCTGGGGTGCCTACGTACCCAGCAACTCAGAGTGCAGCGAAAGCTTTCTCCTAGTACATGGGGAAACGGAAGTTGTCCAGCGACTCTGTGGTGGGCAAGTCATGCGCACTTTGCATGCCGAGGGCCGATACATGTTTCTCAGCCTGTATTCGTCCTCCTCATTAGCCGTCTTTGTTGCTTCAGTACACGTCATGACTTGATCTGGAAATATGCACTCCACCAACGAGGTAGCAGCAGCAGCCGGGGTTAGCCTTAAGGGTCTCCGACTTGCGCTCACATATTGTCTTCTCCGTGCATCCAAAATATATATATATATATATATATATATATATATATATATATATATATATATATATATATATATATATATATATATATATATATATATATATATATATATATATATATATATATATATATATATATATATATATATATGACAATGTCAGACCACGGAGGAAAAAATGAAACAGGAATTTCCTTAATAATAATATTATAATAATGTATGCAGTGAAAGGATTCGCCCAAAGAATGTGTTATGTTTACCATATTTCTCTGGGTTTGAGAATATTGTCAAGGCCTTGAAACTTTTTAATATAGATGTAATGTTTAGCTACGAAAACACTGTTGGTAAGCTATTAGTTAGGAACAGCCCTCGTAGTGATATTTGCGTCATTTATAAAATACCTTGTAAGGAATGTAATAAGTTCTATGTCGGGCAAACATCTAAAGATTTAAAATGTAGAATATCGCAACATAAATACTCTGTAAGACATGGCCAATTGTCTAATGCTTTGTTTGTTCATTTGTCAGAAAATGCTCACCAAATTGATTGGGAGAGTGCTTCTTCAATAACAAATTGTAAAAGCACCTATAACAGAAACATAATTGAATCTGCTTTGATACAGATCACAAAAGAAAGTAATTTGAATATTAGCAGTGGTCTATATAACTTAGATCCATTTTTAATAGATCAGTTAAAGGACGATTTAAGTAGGATCGTTGGAACGCATTTGTCTCACTAATTCATTGTATATATTTACCATTTTATTGCTATAATTATCTATGTATTGTGCCTGTGTATGTGTGCTGTATCAGATGGGCCATTGTGCGACATCAGATGGGCCAATTGGCTGCATCTCATGGGCCAATGGGCCGTCTGCGCTGTCCACGTATTGTACCTCACCTCACTTCACCATTCTCTCCTGCCTATTTATACCCATCACTCGATCTGTAAAATCACTCCTTCTGAAGATGTATTAATATACGAAAGTACTTAAGGAAATTCCTGTTTCATTTTTCCTCCGTGGTCTGACATTGTCACATTTTTAATCACGTGTTTACTTTCGTGATATACATACATATATATATATATATATATATATATATATATATATATATATATATATATATATATATATATATATATATATATATATATATATATATATATATATATATATATATATATATATATATATATATATATATATATATATATATATATATATATATATATATATATATATATATATATATATATATATGTATTTATAATGATTTAATTTGAAACTTGATTACATAAAATAGGTTATAGCATTGGTTACATACAGGGTACAAAGGAGTTACAGGTGTCGTGTTTCATCAGCTACTCAGATGACGGGCAGCAAGCATGGATGTTGTGTGTGTTTCTCTCCTCTGTATTGCCATACCGAGGCTGGTAACTCTTGGGTTTTTTGTTGTTTCGATGAACTTAGAACCCAGATCGTTAAAAAAAACAGTGGCCGGTTGTGAATGTTAGACATTAAGATGCTATTTGTTGTGAATGTTGTTAAAGAATAGTGAGAGTAATATGTTGTGTGAATGTTGGGATTAGCTGTAGGGAGCAATTGGAAAGCTATATGTAAAATTTATTATATAATTAACTGTAGGAAGTGGTGTTATCTATCGGAGTTTTATCTTGAACATTGTAACAAGCTGTAGGAAGCAGATTTATTGTGAGTTGTATTTTGAGTTGTATAACTTTATTGTAAGGATCAGTTTCAGTAGATGTCGTACTTCAGATGTTTTAACTTGCACTAGAGAGTACTTTTAAAGCTTGTTTGCAATGGCAACGCCACATAGTATCCATAATTGTATTATAATATGTATTAGTTATGCTATAAATATATTATTAATTTATTGTTTAGGCCTTAACTTTTATATTTTTAGTCGTTATTTATTAACTATTATTTATAATATTTATTGTTTGTTTTATTTAAGAAACTACAGAATATTTATTTGCTAAGGCTAACCACCTAAGAATGAATAAAAAATGTACAAGACATATATATTACTTTCAGTAAGCCTACTAATGAATAATAATTTTAAGTCAAGAGACAGACAGAGAGAGAGAGAGAGAGAGAGAGAGAGAGAGAGAGAGAGAGAGAGAGAGAGAGAGAGAGAGAGAGAGAGAGAGAGAGAGAGAGAGAGAGAGAGAGAGAGAGAGACAGACAGAGAGAGAGAGAAATAGTCAGATAAACAGACTGACAATTTGGCAGACATTGATGAAGGCAAGGAGACATTCTCTGTGGGATGTGGAGGGAACAATAACCTTGGTATAAATACAATATTACACACACCCACTCATTCATACATCATCAATGTGCTTTCCTAAGAGTAAGTAAGTGAGCTTCAGATTCGTCATTCATTTTATCTACATGTAATTAATTCACAATGACCATTACGGGGAATGTAATGCAGTTTTTAGTTATATATTTCTTTGTAATTATGCAAAATATTTTTTAATCAGAAATATAATGCAATATATTTAAATAAAATTGTAAGCTATTATTTGATAAAACAAACCATTCCGAATTGCAGTTATCATTAAACATAATAAAAGCATATGAAAACACAGATGGATAGAAAACAATACAAAAATCTAATCAGTAATTCCCTTTAGAAAATGGCTTCATGCCACCTTGGGCCTTTTTGGGAATATGAACATGGTACTGAGGTTCGCAAAAACACTTCCCTTGGGAGCAAAGGTCTCGTTCTGGTACTTGTGGAGCAACTTCTCGGTGCCGAAGATAGGCAGGAGATACGTTCAGTTATGTGGATCCCATCAGAATAAAATATCAACTGTTGCACATGATAATAGTCCGCAGGGTGTTCAAGCTCAGCCTCTATAAGGCTAGAGAAAGCAGGGCAAGAGGACATGACTGGAAGCTGGAAAAACAAATGAGTCGAAGAAATGTAAAGAAATACTCGCACTCTGTACGGGTTGTGAACAAGTGGAATGTAACACTACAACTCTCTTTTTGCTTCTCATGTAAATTCCAGAATTATATTTTTTTCCTATTCTATTACTCAACGTAATATTTGTTCAAGTGGAATGTAACTGAGAGAAGAACGGGGCTCTATCATATCTACATTTGAAACTGTGTTTGGAGTCAGCCTCCATCCAATCACTTCCTAATGCAGTGATGTGGTGGAGGCTGACTCCATGTGTGTGTGTGTGTGTGTGTGTGTGTGTGTGTGTGTGTGTGTGTGTGTATGGAGCCTTGTGACTATGCGTTTCAACCAAAACTGGACAAAAAAAGAGAAAGTATAAGAACACACACACACGGGATAATCAGGGGACGCAGTTTAAAATAAAGAGTGGAACATTTAAACTCTCTTTACCTTGACAAGTTACGGCCTCACTTATTTTTCATATTGAAATGCAGAATATTAAATACAAAATATATAATTTTTATATGTTAACACCAGTTTCCTTGCCTAAATTTTCATTTGATGATCAAATTTTAATTTTTTGCTGTTTTTAACCAGGCGGAACTTAAGCGGATGAATGACAAAAAATGAGGTGAATTTTTTTTACAAGATTGTCTGATACGAGTCATGATGGTAACCGCAAGTCACGGCAGCGAGCCTGGAAAGGTTCCTTTATTGTTTTTCTCTATTTATCTATTATCTTCTCTATCTGATCAGACCAAATGTGTTGAACCTGACTGCTCGAGTGACCCGCGCGTCATCCACGGGTTCATATCCTGTTTTTACTCTAATGATCATTGACCTAGACACTGTGCGACCAGTTATCTCAGGCAGTCATTTCACCCTAATGACTCTCTACACCTTCCACAGTTCGTAAATGTCTTTTATTACCAACATTACAAGTGTGGTGAACGTTTTGAATTAGGTAACGTTAGGTAATATCAAAAGTGATTCTCAGCATTCCCATCTGATTTTTTTTCAGCAATTGAGTAAATGCTAAAAAAGCAGAGACAGACAGACAGACAGACAGACAGACAGACAGACAGACAGAAAGACAGACAGATAGACAGACAGAAAGACAGACAGACAGACAGACAGACAGACAGACAGACAGACAGACAGACAGACAGACAGACAGACAAACAGCTAAATAGACAGACAGACAGCTAAATAGACAGAGAGCGAGGCAGAGTAAGAAAGAGAGAAAGCTACTAGAACCCACTCATACAGGAAACAAACTACCATTGTATAACAGACAATGAAACACAAGAAAAGACAATGTTAAAGATACTATGAATTAAAGATAAACTGCCTTCTGCGGTTCCCTGTATTGTTATGTCATTATTTATGTGTATCTCTTTTACGTGCATGGCCTTGCTTGCGTAATGTTGTGCTTTGCCTGTATGTATGTGCCTGCGAGTATAATATGTGGAGAAACATTTTCCTCTTCATTCTCAAGAAAGATTTCGTGGTCATCTACTTCTAAAACCAGTTTATACTCTCTCTTTTTTTGGCGTATTTCCTCCAAAACCAGTTTGATGATTAATTGAAAATTCAGCTTTCTTTTTTTAGCAACAGCGTGTCATCATCTCAAGATACAAAACAATTTGAAATTACGTTCAGTAATAGAATATGAAAAAACATAATTCTGGAATTTACATGAGACGTACAAAGAGAGTTGTTAAGCAAGTCTTGTATCTATATATTTGATATAAAGAAAAGATTGAATGCTTAAGAGCATTTCAGGGGTAATTTCACATTATCATATTACAAAGTCAGTAAATATTTAATTTCTTTTTAATATCCATCATCAACAGGGGTCTTTCATAAATTTTCCCTTATGTCTTAAAGTGCACATTCAAGAATCTTCAAAATACGCCGCTAACTTCTACCTTCTACAAATCAAACTCAAATTCATAAAACTATTCATAATTGTTTGTCATCTTGTAATTGAGTTAATTTACACAAAATTCCTCTACATTATTTACCTTAGAAAAGTCATAATAACACCGTAACACGTAA